AAGTCTTTAGTCACTCTCTACTTTTTATGGCTTATGTAAAACCCATAGAATGGCTTGGTGGGCACCTGGCATCCAGCCAAGGTCAACTCACCACATCTGGTCTAACAGTTTTTACTCTGTCTCCTAAGCAACCCTGTGTTAAAACATGCATTTTCCCATTCATGCTTAATTCACACATGGTTGCATTCACATTGTTCCTTAATTTTAGGGAAGATGATGTTAAATGTTGCAACTACAGTGTTGGGTACATGGAGTTTCCTCTATATGTAGAGTTGGTACCATCTTTTTGGCAACACTGAGTAACTGCGACATGTCATTTTTGTCATTTGTTCTTCCTTTTCTTAAGTCAACTGGCAGATGTTAGGATTTCAGGTCAGTGTACTCTTTAACACCTCTGAAGCCTTTTATTTTACTGGTAGCTGCAGAATCAGAACAGTAACATTAGTTTTTTTCCTGTACGTGCCCTATAAATTCTGAACAGACACAAGTGGATGTTCAAGTGATCACTGCTTAGCTGTTCTGCAGCTTCTTAATTTGTGTGCAGCTGGCCTGTGGTTGTGTTCTAGCTGTGTGAAAGGTGCATCTGCTGCTATTGTTAGAGAATTTGCTGAGTACCAGAGCAGATGGAGATGCCAGTAGTTATCACTTACTAACATAGCTTGTTGTATTATTCCCTAGAAATGTACATTATTAAAATACAGAAATCTCTCAAGGCAGTTGGTTAGATGAAAGGACTTTAATGAAAAATTCCCAAAGAGAGTTGTCATCCTAAAGAATCTTTTGGTAGCAGAAGCATCATGGTATACAGGTCAGGGAAGTAGCACCTTCAGGTTATATGAATTCAGATAAACACACTTGTTTTCAAATTGTGTTCGACACATTCTGTCTATTTTTCCTGAATTCATATTTCTTTTTCAAAATGAGATGAGATTGTCAAAAGCATCTCACACTGAATGCAGTCACTTTTACTCTTTTTCAAATTTTAAAAATATTTGTCAACCAGTACATTGCACATGGCAAAGGATTTCAAGCACAGATATTGTGGTATGTGTAAGAACTGCTTTAGGAAATTTTTCCATTGGAAGGTATTTTTTCAGCTGGGTTCCATTTGGCATGCCTTTTAAGTAGGGTTATGACTATTGCCAATGATATTAGACTGATTAGTGAAAGTCTACTGTAGCATATTAGTGTAAGAATACTTCGACTTCTGAGAACTTTGTCAATGTCTAGTTATCTGCTGGAATTGTGTGTCTTTGTGTGTGCTTCTACTAAGTCACATCAGACCCATAAAACCCTGTTTATTTTCCCACTGTGTTTTGCTTCTACAACAATTTCTGTGTACCAACCATATATTTTGTGTTAATGTGGGGAACTGTTTAGATAGGTTCCCCTTTCTTTTGCCTTCTTTCCCTTATCTGCATTTGGAAAGGTGTGTCAGCACTCTAAGAAAAAAAGGACATTGGGTAGTACTATCGCTATGAAGATCAGCTGTCATTTGTCCAGTGAAGATAGAATCATAGAATGGCCTGGGTTAGAAGGGACCTTAAAGATCATCTAGTTCCAACCCTCCTGCCATGGGCAGGGACACCTTACACTAGACCAGTTTGCTCAAAGCCCGGTCCAACCTGGCCTTGGACACTTCCAGGGATGTGGCATCCACAACTTCTGTGGGCAATCTGTTCCAGTGCTGCACCACTCTCACAGTAAAAAATTTCTTCCTAATATCTAATCTAAACCTACTCTGGTTTGTTACCCTTCCCCCTTGTCCTGTCACTACATGCTCTTGTAAAAAGTTTCTTCACATCTTCTTGTAGGCTCCCTTCAAGTACAGTAAGGCTGCAGTTAGATCACCCTGAAGCCTTCTCTTTTCCAGGTCGAAAAATCGCAATTCTCTCAGCCTTATGTCACAGGAGAGGTGCTCCATCCCTCTGATCATCTTGGTGGCCTCCTCTGGACTTGCTGTGAAAGGTCAATGTTCCCCCTGTGCTGGGGTCTGCAGAGCTGGATGCAGCACTGCGGGTGGAGTCTCATGACAGCAGAGTAGAGGGGCAGAATCAGCTCCCTCGACCTACTGACCACACTGCTCTTGATGCAGCCCAGGACACGTGTGGCTTTCTGGTTTGAGTGCACATTGCCAGCTCATGTCCAGCCTCTCATCCACCAGCACAACCCCCAAGTCCTTCTTGGCAAGACTGCTCTTGATCTGTTCATCCCCCGGCCTGAATTGATACTGGGGGTTGCACTGATCCAAGTGCAGCACCTTGCAATTGGTCTTGCTGAACGAAGGGTATTCCCATGGGCCCATTTCTTGAGCTTGTCCAGATTCCTCTTGATGGCCTCAGATCCTTCAGGTGTGTCAACTGCACCACTCAGCTTGGTGTCATCTGCAAATTTGCTGAGGGTGCACTCGATCCCTTTGTCGATGTCATTAAAGAAGATATTAAATAAAACTGGTCCCAGCACAGACCCCTGAGTGACACCACTTGTCACTGATGTCTCTTGGGACTCTGAGCCATTGACCACAACCTCTGGATGTGACTGTCCAATCAGTTTCTTCTTAATCTAACAGTCCACTCATCAAATCCATCTCCGGTTTAGAGAGAAAAATGATGTAGGGGACTTTACAGAAGTCAAAGACTTTACAGAAGCCCAGATAAATGACATCTGTAGCACTTCCCTTGTCCACTGATGTAGCCACTCCACCATAGAAGGCCACTGGGTTGATCAGGCAGGACTTGCCTTTGAAAACCTTTAGGGAAGTTTCAGCATAGGATCACATATGGAGTGTTATTTCATCTCCCAGCCTGAGAATGAAAAGAACCTTTTGTTGAAATTGCATTGATACTACCTCAGTTCAAATGCCAGATTTTGATCATGCATGCTTATGTACCATGGTGTTTTGTTATATTGAGGATATAATTCCAAGAAGTATGTACTTGTCATTTGAGGATAACACCCTTGGATCATTTCCATGACTCTTAGTGGCTTGCATGCTATTGCAAAATGCCTGATGTCGTTCTACTTCCTATGGTCTGTATCTTTTGCTGGATATTATTTTCCATTGCAGCCTGGTAATTTCCCATATCTCTCCTCCTTTTAAAATGTTCCTACTCTAATTACGTGCTGGACTTTATTTTTTTCTGGTGAATTTAGTCCTTTGTATTCTTTCCCTTATGCATCTTTCTGCTTTCTGTATGCTGCTGGCATGCAAGGGCACAGTTTAGCAACACACTGAAGGCCATTTCAGCTGCTGCCAAGGACATTTCTTTCCTTGACTGGCATAATTTTCAGGAATGATAGCCATTTTACCCTCACCAGGAACCAAGAATCTAAATCAACAGAAAAACAACATTACAGAAAGAAGAATAGCTTACTGCCTGTGCTAGCTCATGATGGGATCAGCTGGCAGTTGGTGACAGTACAGAGAAGGGGAGGGTAGTATGTGACTGCTGTAGGAAGCCAGGCTGCTGTTATAGCCCTCTCATAGATTGACTTAGGTAATTAGTGATGGTAGGACACTCCTCACCTACGTACAAGGCTGAGCTAGTCATACTGGGCAATGAGTAGGTACCTCCAGAGTCAATTATCTATCCTGCATTGGGATGAAATGAATCCATGTGCCAAGGTGCCTTTCTCTGGCTTGGTAATACAGGGAGCTCAGGGTGATTTTCTCAGGGTGGCCACCTAAGTCTGAACAGATAAATCCCACCCAAGGGTCTGTTTATAGCTAGCCTCAGCTTGAGGTCTGTATCTAAACAAAATTGTTCTGATAAATAGTCATCTGCTGATGCCAGCTGTGCTCTGTCTTGTGGTTCACTTTTTGAGGTGTCATACTTGCAGTGTTGGGAAGAACTGGGCAACAGTCTTTATTTTTAGGCAGCTTCCCATTATTCTTAGAACCTCCTTTAAAAATAGCTGTCACTTACCTAATGTGTGAGAAAATGGGGACAAAAGCTGTTTCTGCTCTGTGTTCTCCTCAGTAGGATGCTGTGGCAACCAAAAGCAAACCTTTTTCCTGTCCACTTGCCCTCTGGGATGGTGCCCTTGGTCATCTGTCCTTTCTCTGTCAGACCTCTGGTTTTTCACTTTTGCTTTGTGTTTTTCCAACTAGTGATCTACATTCTAAGTCTCTTATCTTGTCTTTCTCTTCCTCTAGTCTCATAAACTGCTTTGCTTAGATTTTGTCTTCTGTCTGGGCATTCCTGATCCGTCCCTGTGTTTATGCATGAGTCCATTGTGGGACATGAAAAGAGAAAGCAGGGAAGGGAGAACACTAATTTTTCCCCTTTTTAGTCTAGTGTCCTACCACACTAAGCTTGAGCTGGCTTCATCATCAGACTTCTTCCCTGCTTCCTTCCATCCTTTAATGTGGCATGCCTGAGTGTATTCTAATTTCATTGACTGTGTCCAGCCAATGTTAGCAATTACTCTCCTGGGGAACTGGAGCTGTGGGTTCAAATCCTTTTAAGTTAAGCATGTTCTATAGCTGGTACTTCACACTTTTTGGATCAATACTTGAGTGGCATTTCTGTTGTGCAAAAGGCAGGTGCCACTACTGCCATGGCTGGGTTGATCAGATGGGGCCTTGATAGACCTTTCTGCCTGTTCTCTACACCTCCAAAAATGTAGCTGCAGGACTGGGACCACCCTCCCCATGCTGAGTTTGCCTTTTGAGCCTGTCCAGCACCCTCAAGAAAACAACTGTCAGGCCCCCCTAGGAAAACTTCCAAGCACCTGGAGAGTGATAATGTGTTGGAAAGCATAAGTTGCTTGAATGGGCATTAACCACTTAAATACTGCACAAATACCCCAACTTCTGCAACCAGTCTTCCCTCTGTGGATGGGAAGGGAAGAAAAGCAATGCCTTAAAGCTTCATAAATAAAATTCCAAATGCATATGTGCATAATATATATTTATTCATGTAAAGAAAAGTACCTTGCAACATTCTCCACATTATTCACTGTTTCATGGTGAATCCTTGGAGTTTTATTTCCTTCAGAAATAAAACTGTGTGTGGGGATAGCATCAGGTACTCATGTCAATGCTTTATAGGAATGGGGCTGAACTGAGGTGGTTTAGACACAGGTTTTGGAAGAACTGACACCTACATTTGAACCCTGGTAGTTTTTTGTTGGTGGTGTTTTTGTTTTTGTGGGGGTTTTTTGTGTTTTTTTCTTTTTTTTGGCATTTTGGGGAAGTAAAGAATACTGAAAATTTGGTCTGACGTATATCAAGGATAGCATCCAAAACTGCAAATTGTTTTTGTAAAATATAGCTGCAAACAGCAGAGATCTTGTAATCTAGTAGGGACTTTGATTAAAACATTGCAGGAGAAATTCTCTTTAGTTGTATCGGACCAACATTTTACATAAAGATAAAATTCTACTTGAGCATTATTTTCTACTGACTGAAAAGCCATAGAGAACTATTGTGAAAGATTTGGCACCTGGGTCCCATCTCCCTCTAGTTAAAGGTTTTGAAAACATGCTTGCCCCCTCCTGGCACTATTTTGATCTTCCCTGAAGCCCTGATTTTATATTTTTAACTCAGATTACAGTAAGTTAATTCTAACATGAATTCATTGACTTCAGCAGAACAACATCAGGAAAAATTTGTCTCAATTTTTAAAAACATTCTTCTTGATGAAAAGTGAAACTACTATTCCTACATCTGACAAAGGCGTCTACATTGTGCAGTCAGAACTAATAGTCCCTTACACCTCACAAATATTGGCTGAGGAAATGGCTCTATTGTGCCAGAATTAAGTGTACTTTGGGGAGTAACCAAAGACTTCCTATCAGTTAGGTTTTTAGGTAATGCTAGACTCACTCTTTTGTCCTCTGCAACAAACGTTGCTGCTCTTCAGCATCATGAGGACCTGAAACATGTTATATCTCTGCTTTATACTACTCCATGCTCCATAGATTTCACAGAGACTTGGTAACTGTAGCAGTTATGGTCCTCTTTTTTGCAATTCTACAGTATTAATATTTAGGGATTTTTTTTCAGTCTTTCAAGTCCATTGCTTCAACCTTTAAATCAACGTATAGAATTTAACTTGACAGCATTGCAATGTTACGATAATGATTGTTGTTTAAACAGCTTTGTAACTGATTCTGAGTTTTATAGTCTAGCTAAGTGGTGAACTCTTGATTACCCAAGGTAACGCACAGAGGAGCTGGGAGGACAAATGAGAAAACACTTAGATAAAGTAAAAGCATAGCTACACAAAACATCTGTAGATTAGGATGATCAGCAAGGCTGTAATGGAGAAAGAAGAGGTCAGTGACACAAGTTTCATCTCCAGTGTGAAAGGCATCTTCCCCAGGGAATGATCTGCAGCCCTTGGGCCAAGGGGTGAAAAGCAGCTTGTGTGAACAGCACTGGAGGCTTGTCCCTTCTGCCTCTCACTGCTTCCCCCAGAAACCTATCCCTGGTCTGTGCTGAGTGCTGGTGGTACCCTTGTACCCTGGGACTTAATTTAATTTAAATCATCTGTTCAAAATGTTTGAAATAGCATGAAGTCTGTGTCACAGCCTGCTATTTCACTGGCGTGATTTTGTGGGCATGTGTTGCATCTGCTAGAATGTGGCTTAGGGCCTGCCACGGCGCTTGAGGACAGACAAGCTGCCAGATAGTTCTGGGAGGTGTCGGGGCATGGATGATGAGGACTTGAAAAGTCAGGGGAGTGAAAACCCTTGAAAGTTATTGCTATGTGTGTAGTGCTGACTCAAACCTGCTTGGGAAAGTCACCAAATGTGGGTGTGGCTCTGCAGATTTATGTGTGTGTCTGTACTAGGAACATACTTAATTCACAATAAAGATAATTCAGCTCAGATACCTGAGAATAAAGTATAGTTTTAAAAATAACAACAAAAAAAATCATAGTAATAATGAAAACAACTCAGTAATAGTGAAATAAAAACAGCTCAAATATGAGTCCCATAGGATTATACAGTGGATTAGAGTTACTCCATAACTGTTGGCTAGCTGAGCACTAATACCAGCAAGCATCGTTTGCCTTCTGCATTTTTCAGCCATTTGGTTTCAACTGGGCAGATCATCTGTGTTGTTGATTCTAAACCCAAAATAACAGCATGTAACAAGCTGCTGACCCTTGTGGAGCAGTCACTGGCAGATACGGGAACTCCATGCATGAGGCATTTGCTGGCTGAAGTGATCTCCAAGTTTTTGATCCAGCACTGGGGAGGAAGTGTGGGAGCTCAAGGAGTGCTAGAGGCCAGCTGGCCTGGCCAGTCCTGCAGCAGTTTTAAGCGAGCCTGTGGGGCCTTGGGGATTCTCCAATGGTCTCTCAAGGATTTGTCACTTGAAGCTTGGCTTGTAAAGCCTCTTCTCTCTTGTCAAGTGAGGTAGATTTCCTGAAGCTGACAGGTCTCAAAAGTTGTTTTGAAATTGTTGTGCTGTTTGCATTGATATATTTTTGTTCCTAATGGAAATAGAGGCATTTTACTAATTTTTATTTTTTTTTAAGTAAATGCTGCCTTTTCCTCCTCTTCTAATTTTGTTTTTCAGTGCTTTCAGCTTACACTGATTTAATGGCCACTATTATAAGTGCTGCAAATTTAACTTCTGACCACTACATAGACAGTGAGAAAACATTCATACTTTTATAAACGCTGAACATCTCTAAGTTTCTCTCTGGCATTGGTTTTACCGATGCTGAAGATACTCCAAATACTGAGACCAAGATAGTGTTTGAAAAAACAGGCTGGTACCTTTTTCTGAGGACCACTTTCAGTGGGGTTTGGTTTCCTAAACGCCTTTATGAATCTGGGTCTGAAAGGACTTGAAGGTAGGTCAGAAAGTAAAGGAATTTTTGGCGATTTTAAAATGAAAGATGCTGCTGTGGCATATACCTGGATATCAAACTCTTATTTCAATCATATGAGGCAATTTTAGCTGCAGGAGAGGTTTCTTTTGAAAGCAGGAAAAGGTGGAGAAAGTGATATCCAAAGTGCTTTTGGTTTTATTTCTACTACTAATGTCTCCCTTTACTGCAGCTGTAGACTCTATAAAGTATTTAATCTGCAACCTCTTCAGAGATTTCTTCTGTTAGTGGCTCTTCTCAGACCAAGGTAATTTCCTTGAGCATTTGTACAGATCCGGGTGTTGTGACCTGACTGACACTAAAGAAGCTCCTTTTTCTAGAACGAGTTCATTTTCTCTGTGAGGTGACCTGACACAAAATACGGTGAGGTGTATCTCCTCTGTCACTGAGGCTTGTAAGCCCAGCAGCAGGTAGTGGGGAATGTGCTGAAGCTTCATTGGAGGTTTTGTTTTCCCCAGAAAATCCTTCATATCTGGCTGCTGAGCAGAGCTAACAAGCAGCCTTGGCAGTTCTCTACTTCTCAATGTCTGTCTCATCTCTGAGCTGTGTAGGAGTTTGCAAAGGCAGATTAATATTTAACATACCTGGAGTCTTTGATCTTTCAATTGGAGTCTGAATACATCTAAATCCTCATAAAATGCAGACAGAGGAGATGATGCTGCCTTTTATTCACTGATGCAGAGGCTGGAGCACCCTCCTAATTTCAATTCCTTCTTCCATCTCAGGCTGTTTAATTCTACTCTCCAGCTTGTCTGTCAAGAAACCTTATCATCAGTCTGCTGGGTGCTCATGCTGAAACTGCCTAATTTCCAGGCTTTCAGCTGTGTATCTGAACCACTTGGCTTGAAAGCCTCTCTGTCTGATCTTCTGAATCCTGAAGTGCCCCTGCTACAAAAAAAAAGGTGGGATGCCCTTCCTAGGATGTTCTGCATGCTGGTGACCAGGTGCTCTTCTGGGCTGTGGGGTGAGACCTGCAGGCTGAGGCAGGTAGGACCCACATCCTCTGTTTGCTCAGCCCACAAATCCTTTCTCTTAGGGGTGGCTGCTGCTGAGGGTTAAACACCTACATTCAAGTGTCTGGAAGAGCCTTCCAGTCATGAGACTCTGGCATATCCTCCTGGCTGGCTGGTCAACCACAACTCACTGGTTTTCTTATAGGGAGCACTGGTCCCTAACTTGGCATTATGAAGGCTGTTCCTGCTATGGACCCCCTCACTTTCTAGTCAACCAGCGCTAACTATTCAAATGCCAAGACTGGCCTTAGAAATATTTGAAGATCTGGAGAAACACCCTTCTCCTCAACCTTTTTTACTGGCTAGTTTTTGTTGCTCTCTCTTTTACTTGCTGATGGTTGTGAATCACAGACAGGAAAAAGAGGTAGGACTGTCCACAGTGGATACAGTGAGCTTCTCTAGGCTGCAAGATACACCAAGTTGCAGTGCCTTGTACTCTGGGATTAGGAGTCTTCTCCTGGGGAGATGTATCCAGATCCAAGCTTAATGTATGTAAAGTAGTTTTAGTATGCACATGAAAATATTTTGGAGGAAAGTGCTCTCACAGAGGTTGATACTTCAAAACTATATCAAGACTGTGTTCAAATAATTTGTACAACCTTAGAAAATAGCTGTAAAGTGGCCAGCAGCCTGACCCGATTTCTAGTAATTCTGGCTGGCCCTGTGCATAGGCAAGAGAGGCCATAGTCCGGAACAGCAGAGGACAGCAACACAGCAAATATTTTCCTGCTGGTTTTGTCTGTCAGAGCCTTGAGGAGCTGACCTGGTTGCTTCTTCTCCATGGCATCCAAATTTCCATTACTTTTCCCTTTCCTCCCCAGCTATTGCTGTTCTGTGTGTCCACCTTTATCATAGAATCATAGAAAGGCTTGAGTTGGAAGGGACCTTAAAGATCTTCTAATTCCAATCCCCCTGCCATGGGCAGGGACATCTTCCACTAGACCTGGTTGTTCAGGGCCCTATGCAACCTGGCCTTGAACACTTCCAGGGCTGGAGCATCCACAACTTCTGTGGGCAACCTGTTCCAGTGCCTCACCACCCTCGCAGTAAAGGATTTCTTCCTATCATTTAATATAAATCTCTCCTCTTTCAGTTTAAAGCCATTCCCCTTTTTCCTATCGCTGTCTGCTTGTGTAAAAAGTCACTCTCCTTTTTTTCATAAGACCATTTTAAGTACTGGAAGGCCACAATGAGGTCTCCCAAGAGCATTCTCCTCTCCAGGCTGAGCAGCCCCAACTCTCTCAGCCTGTCTTCATAGGAGAGGTGCCATCCCTCTGATCATATTTTTGACCCTCCTCTGGATCCACTCTAATGGGCCATGCCTGATTTTAAGGTATACCCTCTCCTCTAGCTCTGACTCCTCATGATTGGGTGGCAAAAGTCAATTTTGCCTGCACTCTTGAGAAGCCTTGAGTGATATTGCTGCAATTGTGACAAAACCTATCATGGCCTAAACATTTGAACAGCAATTCCACAGTCTTCTGGATATTTTTTCAGATTGACAAAGCTTGTCTATGAAGCAGTTCATGCCTGGCCCGTTAGAGGAGCACATGGTGTGTTGTGGAAATCCCCAGATTTCCATTTTCCTCCCTTGTCCCATGGGAGGATTACCCAGCACCCAAGATTTTCCCTAGCATTTCCTGCCCCACTGTAGCTCACTAGATTATGACTGTATTGAGATCTCTTGACCCTAGAGCTCTTCCCAGGTCCAAGCATAGATGCCACCTTTTTTAAGGCACAGGCCTTTAGCTGCTGCTGTCTTTCCTTTGGAAGGAAAGATGGAGAAAAGATTTGGGTCAAAAGGGGCTCACAAGTCTTTGCCCCAGATCTGGATGATCAGTGAGAGCTTGGGGGTGTATTGTGGAGTCCTCCTTCTCTGCAATGTGGGTGTAGCAAGGGTGTTGTGAGGCAGAACAACCTGACCTGGGACTCATGCCATACCCTCCATACATGAGAAGGGAGACAAAATCTGCTCCCATCAGACCCCCTTTCTGCAGTCTCCTAGGGGATAATGGAAGTACAAACTAGACAGTAATTCAGACGAACAATTTATTCCTGCAACTTCAAAGTCATCTATTTGGTCTTGCTGCTAAGATGTCTGTTATGCTGTTTAATATCTTCAGATCATCCCAAAATTAACAGTTCCACCATCCTAGACCTCAAATATGTTAAGTCATAGAGACCCATGTACTGGTCCCATACTTGTACCTAATCTTACTTCACTTATTTTTGAAGAAATTCAGGGAGAGGAGAGTAATATAGCTCTAGATGTAAAATGCACATGTCTGTATTGTGGCTATAAAAGATGATATACAGGTACTTTCTCTTGAAACCCTGATATGACTTTCATCTTATTTGTGTAATACAGAGTTTTGGTGAAAGAAGGACTGGAAAAACATACCAGAAGTACATAAATAACACTTTTGTGAAAGTATTTCTACAGGCCCCCTAACTACTGTCTTTTGATGGTCCTTTCACACAGACTCCATTTCTGTGCTGTTATTTTCTGAGACATCTCTTCACAGCCTAATTTCAGACAAGCCATTCACTTGTAGGCTTAGACAAGGGGATGTTTCAAAGCTGATTCTCTTCAGGAGTTATTGAAGACTCTGATGTAACTTCATTGCATGATATAGTGAAATATTACCTGCTTTCCACCCTCAATGACTTACATGAGGGCTATTGTATCAGACAATTTGCTGGGCATAATTCCAGTGCTCAGGTAGATGGGAAGTGAAATTTCAGGCATTGAAGTAGGTCTCATTTTCTATTGACTTGCCTCTTTAGAGCAGTATCCACTCTTTCTAAGTGGGAACTTAGTACTAACATCTTTTAGTGCAAGGCCAAGTGGCCAGGAAGGCCAATGGCATTCTGACTTGTATCACCAATAGTGTGGCCAGCAGGACCAGCACAGTGATTGTCTCCCTGTATTTGCCACACCTCAAATCCTGGGTTCAGTTTTGGGCCCCTCACTACAAGAAAGCCATTGAGATGCTGGAGGGTGTCCAGAAAAGGACAATGGAGCTGGTGAAGGGTCTGGAGCACAAAGTCCTATGAGGAGCAGCTGAGGGAGCTGGGATTGTTTAGACAGGAGAAAAGGAGACTCAGGGGAGACCTTATGGCTCTCTACAACTACCTGAAAGGAGTTTGTAGTAGGATGGGGGATTGTCTTTTCTCCCAAGTAACAAGCAATAGGATGAGAGGAAATGGCCTCAAGTTGTGCCAGGGGAGGCTTAAATTGGATATTAGGAAAAATTTCTATGTGGAAAGGGTTGTCAGCCATTGGAACAGGCTGCCCAGGGAAGTGGTTGAGTCACTACCCCTGGACATATTTAAAAGATATGTACATGTGGCACTTAGGGACATGGTTTAATAGTGGACTTGGCATTGCTGATTAATGGCTGGACTTGATGATCTTAGAGGTCTTTTCTGGTCTAAACAATTCTATGATTCTAAGCCCATATACTGTATTTTCTCCGTTCACCTTTCCAGATCCCTGTCTCCAATGAGAAACCTGAACATACAATTGTCCATTATTAGCATTGTTTAATCTCCTTGTTAACTAAATTTCTTCTGAGCTTTATCTCACCCAATCTAATGGCAAAACAAACTGCTAAATGTGCTGCTGCAAGTTGCATGTCTGTCTGAAGAACACACAAACTGCTTGGAGGAGCTGCATGTGTTCTTCTCATGCTGTGTGGATTGTGGCATGCAAAAATACGTTGTATTAGTAGTAGGATGCTGCATGCGTTCAGAAACTGTTGAGAGTCTTTGGAATTCTTATAACTGTTTACTCATTCTTTTGTTTAGGAGTCAGTGACCTGTAAGTGCTCATTATGAAGAGAGATCTGGTTTTCTTGGTGACTCTAATTAGCCTTGCCTTCCTGTCACTACTAAGGTCTGGATATCCTCAACACATTGCAGAGGAGTCCTGCTCTGTTCAGATTCTTGTTCCAGGCCTCAAAGGTAATGTGAAAGCCTACTCCATTATTCAAATATTAATCTTTTTCTTCTAACAAGCTCATTTGCACCACTGACAGTTTCTAACAGAGACAAAGAAGGTGCCTTTCAGTTGCCCTCTTATTTGTTCCATTTGTAGCCTCCTTAAAAATGGAGTTTTAAGGTCCATAAGGTGAAATTAAATCTGTTAAAATAAACATGGTTCAGAGAATGCATACGAATCTCCCAAATTTACTCCTGATCAGTAGTGCTTGTTACTGTGATACACTGCCTGCTTGCTCTCTCTGGGTTTATACTCAACGGTGGTACACATAGCCAAAGACTGCAAAGGCCCTACTTTATTATACCTGGAGAGGTTTTAATTTCCATGTTGCAATGTAATGTAAAGTATTTTGCGTTTTCTAGTATTTTGTTTGTATTCTCTTGATTTTTAAAAGCTCTAATACCTTTTAGAAGAAAGAAAACAGTAGTTAGGGTTTTGGCATTTCTATGGTTTTTGTGGAAAAAGGCAACATTTTTATAAAAAACGCCCCTAAACTATTGCCCAAAGAAGATGGTGTAATAAGTTATTGATCTTTTCATAGCAAAAAATATACCTTACATAAGAAATCAACCAGTAGGAAGAATTAGCATTTTAAAGCAACAGCATCCATTACAGTGTGAAATCCCAGCCCTGTTTAGTCAATAACAGTAATTTCCCTTGTGAAGGCTATAGTATTTCTATTGGAATTTAGCACCTATGAATGTGGGGAAGTACTTGTTAACTAAGGAAAAAAAAACCCATAAATCCTACTAGTTTATCCTTAACAATATATCAAAAAAGCATTGTTTAAGAACCACACGATGAACCTTCCATTTTCTTTTTGTAATTTTGCCTTGTACTATCACAAAACTCACCTAATCAGGAGTGGTGCCATTAATCTTTTCTAGTACAAACCTGGGCTTTACCCAGCTGCCCGAGGAACATAGTATAAGCTGCAGGCACTGTCTGTTCTGGTTACCTGATTGGTAAGAGAAGGCTCAGTTCTGTTCTGCAGTTGTTCATACAGTTAAATTGTGAGCACAGCCTGGCCATAGGTTTGGCTGTAGTGTAAACTGCCCTCTCTAGACATTGCCCAGTTTGTGTGTTGCTGCCCTGTGCTTGAAACAAGAGAATTGGGCTGTAGGGTGCGGGTTCTGCTTGGCCAATTGGCTTTAGGAATAAAAAAGCCCTTTGTTTATTCATTATTACTTATTGTTGTTTTGTTTATTATTATAGATGCAGCTTTGGATGCCTGAACTCAACCAAAAGCTAATTTTTTCTATTTACTTCAATAAGTGACTTTTGAAGTCTTAATAGTATTTAGACCTTCTGTAGATGTCCTACTTATAAAGGACAACACTATATCCTCAATTCTGAGGTTTGATTAAGACTTGAGTAATTTGTTTAATATATTTACTGTGAAAAAGGCATAAGATAGTGCTGTTAATGTGACTACAGAGGAGAACTTGTTAAGCTAGTTAAATCTATGTTGTCCAAAATTACATGAAAGATCAGTTGAAGGGTCAGACTCCACAGCACTGGGGACTTGAAGCTTTGAAATGACTTTTCATTTCAAAGAAGTTGACAGGCTTGGACAAGTTTTGTGACCTCTTTGCCTTAGTTTCCTTATTTGTGTAATCAGTCAAAATTAACATCTATGATTACCGTTTTAGTGCAAGGATCATTATTATTATTATTATACACAGCAGAGGTTTTTAAAGTGTATAAACAGTGCAGGACCCTGACCCTTTGGCAAAAGGCAATACTGAACATGGAAAGCAGAAACAGGCCTGAAAACCATCATGTGTTAATGATTTCACTCCATTTCATGAGATGTAAGCCTTGCAAAATTGAGAGAGATTGATGTACAAATTCAGTGAAGCACAAAATGGCCTGATACAGCCCTAGTTAATGTGAAATCCCCAAAAAACTCTCAATGCTCCAGCTATGCTGTCAGAGGGACTGGCTCAGAGAAGTGACAATGCTGTCCCCTGCTGGCACAACTCCAACCCATTTCGGTGGCCAAGGCTTCCTTTAAACTGAGCAGATATTGGCTATGTGCCCAAATTTCAGCTCCCATGCAGTGGGATTTGTTCACTGCAGCTTTTAGATCTGTGCCATTTCCTCCTCAGCTGGAGTGCCAGCAACATCTCCAATGGCGGGGGAACAGAGCACCATACTGCTGCTAGGCATGACACTGTCAGGATTTGGGAAAAATAGGTACAGGGAAGAAATTGAAGAAATTAGGGAGACCATGGGATATGAGAATGGCAGAAGATAGAGTCCGAAGAGGTGGTGCAGAAAGTGGAGCCCAAACGGGGTGGTGAAGGAGAAAATCATCAGGGAAAAATACCCAAAAGCATGGGGAATTTTAGAAGAACAGGAAGAGATACAGGGGGAAAAAAACCTAAACAAACAAAAAACCAGAAGAGCAGAAAGAATGAGACCGAATGAAAAGACTGGAAACTTGGAAAAAAAAAAGACACAAAACCAATTAAGAGCCCACAGAATAAAAGAAAGAATCAGAAGGGGCATGAGATGAGAATGGAGGTGGAAATGGATGATGAAGAAAACCAGTAAAGACATCAAGACTAGAAAAAGCACAAATGAGTTTAAGGTCAGCAGTTCAGGCCTTAGGGACTAGGTTTGTTTTTTATTCGTGCGGGTTTTTTTTTTATAAACTCAAGAGTATAAAGGAATAAGATGAAATGAGGAACGGAAAAACCATGGCTCTGAGAAGGCAGACAGCAGACTGAACCATGTTTTAGGAAGCTGACTATTAATAATGGGAAAAGTGTGTTGTGTGTGAAAAAGGGATGGATGATGAAGCCTTGCTACATAGCTCACTCATATTCCTCCTAAGGTCCAGTTCCTTTTGATAGATCCATGAAATTGAAGTTACTACTATTGTGGAGAAAAAAAAATAACATGGAACAATCCTTGAATGCTTAAGTTCTCAGTTTGCTACCTTGTTTTGTCTCCCTTTTAGAATCTAAAGCAGTAATTGTCTTAATAGTCTGAATGACATTCAATACATAAAAAAGTTGATGATAAATAAAACCAACTGTATTTTACACCCACACATGATGCATCTACTCACCCAGGGAATATGAGTAATGGAAGAAAGTTATCACCAGCCAAGAATGCTTAATAACTCACATAGTTAATATTTGATGTGCTATTTTCATTGTGCATAGATGGTAGAGCTTAAGAGAGACAGGATATGAACATAAGCATAGAAAAATCCTGTCCCAAAGAATCCACAAAAGGGTGCAAATAAACAGCAATGGTAAGATATATCACCTGAATTAAGAAAGATCTTTCCCAGAGATGATGGAAGAAGAAGACTGTAGTAGTGTCAAGGTTGTGCCTGATACCCGTGATCCTACTGCAGCTCAGTTTGGTGACAGGGCTAAATTTCTTTCTTGGCACTGTGGAGCACTGCTAAACACATCTTACCCTGTCTCAGCTGCACCGTGCTGATGAAGAAGGTACTGTTTTATGCAGTGGGGCTGAAGCAAAGAGACATCCAGGAAGGGATGGAGAGGAGATTGAGCAGGAGATATGACTGCAAAGGGACTGTGTCTGGCAGAAAAGGGCACAACAGAGCAATTGGGTAGGGACTGTGATGCACAGATCCCAACCTCTTGCTCTGAAGTGACTTGGTTGTAGACCAGAAGAGGCTGGAGACCAGAAAGGAGGCACGGAGGTGTCTTTCTCTAATGCATGAATCAAAAGTTAAAGTTATTGTTAATTGGTGAGATATTAAATTGATTGAAATTCCTTAACAGAAAACTGTTTTTTTTGCCCATGACACCTGCACAGTCTTTGCTTCCTCAGCTTGCACAGTGCCCAGGATACATACAGCAAAAATAGGGACTTGAATGTGACAAAGCTGAGCTGGACCACTGATCACTTCCTCTTGGCCAAGGTCTTGCTCCTTAAAACACATTATAACAAAAAAGTGCAGAATGGTCTCTAGCTGGGCCTGTAATGGGATAATCTCCTCCCAGAGAAAGTTTCTAAAACACCCACACTAAGGAACGTGGTGCCATCTTATTATAGGAATAAATGCAGGCAAGTGTAATGGCCTGAAGCAAGAGTGATCTATTTTATTGATCCCTAATGCACAGCTTTCACTCTGAAGAACGTGTAAAGCAATAGGCTGTAATAGCCTGCTCTCAGCCTCCAGAGAGCAGGGAAAAGTCATTGTCAGGATTTATCTTTGGGAAGCAAAGAACTCATAACCAGCCCTGAGGGGTGAAAGGCAATCATACAAAGCCTATTGGTTACCTGATAATAAAAATGTGACGTTCCCAAATGTGCCAAATTATAGCCTGTTTCATGCTAACAATATTATTCACTGGGGATTATGTGAAGTTTGTCCTCATTAAGGTCAGAGAATGGCCTAATTTTGCATGTCTGAAGGCAGGGAAGATGGTCTGGAGCCTGCTGACAGCCTGAAGAATGAAAATATAACAGATGGAGGACCAAGTTCAGTTCACAGCCATCTAGGTCTACAATAAGGAGAGAGACAGAAAGAGAGCTGGAGGCAGTGTATTTGAAACATGCCATATTGTGGCATGTTTTTACATGCCATCTTTCTGGCCCCTCTCTGAACTATAGCTGCCAGCTATGCCAGAGAGCAGAGCTTGTGGGGTGCATGATAACCTTTGACTTTCTTGCTGTGGTGCTCCCCTTGACTTCCTGGAGAGCAGTTAATAACTCTCCTCTATAGAAATACGGTGCTGAGGCATCATGTGTGCTGTGCTGGCTCTGGGTTTTGGATACTGGCATCTTAATTTCTATGGGAGCCATAGAACGTTCTTCTCCTTCATATAAATCTTTTTTTGTCAAGGTGGCTGTGTAAATCATTCAAACTTCTGTTTGTGAAAGAAATTTTAATTTTAAGTCAATGGCAAACTACAATGGTAGGGGGCAAAAGAAGCTAAGCATCCTCAAATTTTCAATGAAAGGAACCAGGAAGGAAAACATTTACAGAAACTGATGTTTAAATATGGTGACTATAATGATGCGCCATGAGCCACGTGCATGTCAGTGGCTCAGAGATTAAAAGGCACAGTATATACTGAGGATATGGAGTAGGAAGTTACTCTTTCATGCTTAGAAATGATCCTCTAAATGTAGCAATGCCATTTTATAGGTCTGATGAATGGCATTTTTTAAAAAAAATGAGATTATAGCTAAGCTATTTGCACTTGAGACTTAAGCATGTCCTTAGCAGAGGCTCAAGAAGTGTTTGGTGAACACAGACCCAGAAGTTTATGTGCTAAACTGGGGCCTAATTCTGAAGATTCTACTTAAGTGAATGGTGCTGTTGAGTTTTTTGTAGGTTGATGATACAAGTAACATCCACAAAAATAGACCTGTTGTATAAGACTTCAGTAATGTATTGACTTGGGGTTTGTCTATATTTACTCCAACTGAAGAAAATTCTGTTCTCTATGCATCAAGTAAGGCTGTTAAATCAGATTGCATCTGCTTTTATTTTTTCACTGGAGAGAATGGCACTCTTGTCACTGCTGCTAACAGAAAATAGTCCTGGTTTAATATGATTCTTCTTTTTGTTTCCTTTTGTATCAACAGGGGAGGCTGGAGAAAAGGGGGAGAAAGGTGCTCCAGGTCGTCCAGGCAGAGTTGGACCTCCAGGAGAAAAAGGTAATTTTGTTAAAGAAGATGTTTTGAAAGTCATTCCTGACAAAATGCTGTCTTTTCTTCTGAGGTGATGATGATGGGAATCCTCTCTCCCTTTGCTGGGTGATTAAAACATCCTTGGCCATTTTTGTTTACTATTGTTGTGGTTTAACCCCAGCTGGCAGCTCAGCCACACGTAGCCACTCACTCTCTTCCCCCCGTTTGGATGGGGAGAGAATTGGAAGGGTAAAAGTGAGAAAACTCATGGGTTGAGCCATGCACAAGCAAAGCATAACAAGGAATTCATTCACCAGTTCCTATAGGCAGGCAGGTGTTCAGCCATCCCCAGGAAATCAGGGCTTCATCACATGTAACAGTGACTTGGGAAGAAGACAAACACCGTCACTCTGAACAACACCCCTCCTTCCTTCTTCCCCCATCTTTATATACCGAGCACAATGCCATGTGGTAGGGAATTTCTCTGGGGTCAGCTGTCCTGGCTGTGTGCCCTCCCAGCTTCTTTTGTGCCCCCAGCCTGCTTGCTGGTGTGGTGGGATGAGGAGCAGAAAAGACCTTAACTCTATGTGAGCACCTCTCAGCAATAAAGATTACATTTCTGTGTTATCAACCTAGTTTTGGTCACAAATCCAAAATATAGCACAATACCAGCTACAATGAAGAAAATTAACTTTATCCTGGCCAAAACCAGTACAACTGTATGCACTTCTTTGTAGGCTATTACTTCTGGTAAAAAAAGGTCTCGATTTTTTAGTAAGGTCTCTGTGAAGAAAGACATCATAATGTCTTATTCAGAATTTGCCTTCTGCAAACGAAAACCTCACATGAGATCAGAGGGAAAAAAATCACAAGGTTCAATTTTCTTGTTTCCTTTTTTTTTTTTGTGAATGTGAACACTCATAAGTTATTAATGAAAACCATTGAGGGAAGGCATAATAGGCAGAGATGGCCATGAGTGTTTCCACATTTTTTGGGTCGCAGTTCTGTAATATCTGTGGAAAAATGGTGATAAGGCTGTTTGCATTGTAGTTCAAAAATATTTGGAGCTCCTGAGAGGAATGGTGCTCAATAGTGTTCAGTTATACAGCAAGAGAAACATGGCATTTTCATGTTTGTTTTCCTCCTGAAGCAAGGAGGAAATTTGACCTTCATAAGTTTTCCAGGAGGTGCATGTTCTGAAAGGTTCATGTTAGGAGTAGCCAAAACCTTTTGATATTGAAATTAAAGATTTGATATTCCTGTCATCAGAACAATGGCATGAGTTAGTTTTTACTGATCTGAGTTTACAGTCTTCCTTTCAAGGCAATCATACTGGTAGTTTATACTTCCTTATGATAATGCATGGTCGCTGTGTTGTTCTTTTAGGCAATTATGGGAGCCTGATACCTGCAGTTTTCCCTGGGACCAAAATCCATAGCTAGAGCTCTTTCCCCTACAATGCATTGAAAAATTTATAACTCCCATGAGATGTATGTGTGTTCAGTCAGTGTACTTGCCTTATGTAGGTGTACTTTCAAGGACAACTGTTAGAAAAAATATTGGAAACTAAAATTTCAGCTCTTGCAAGATAATGCAATAGGAAGTTAAAGCATGACAGAATAATTTAGGTTAAAAGGTTGTAAAGAGCTCATCTAGTCCAATCTCCTGCTTTAAACAGGGCAGACTTCAATATTAGAGCAGGTTGCTCGGGGTTTTTTCCACATCCTTTTTGATCAGTCTGTTCACCAGTTTCATCATGAAAGACCTTTTCCTTGAAGCCTACTGAAATTTTTCCTGTTGTAGCTTGTAATCATTGCATCTTGTCCTCCTTTCTCTGTGAGTCTCTGAGAAGAAAATGCTGCATCTTCACTAGAAATTACTTGTAAGTAGTGGAAGACTGCAATTAGGTCCCACCTTACCCTGCTGTACTGCAAGCTAAGCAAAACCATCTTTCTCAGCTGGACTCTGGTTTGTTTCTCATGTATGAGGGCCCAGAAATCTCTGGGTCCTTTTATGCAAAGGAGTTTTTTTAGCCAGCCATTGGCCAGACTTCATCAATGCATAACAGGTGAGGAACTTAGCTGAACCCATGGTATTCCTGTCAACATATTTCTGTAGCATGTCGAGGTCCTCGTGACTGACAGCGGTGTCCTCCAGCGCATCAACCATTCCTGCCAGCATGGAGCTCATTCATCGTCTTCCTCCTGTTACTGGTGAAGGACTGGTTCCTGAGGAATGGCATTAATTATCACCTGCTGATTAGACTTTGGAAGCCTTGCAGCAGTGCTAGATAGGAGTCTCATCGCCCTTGAATGCTTCTGGGCAGTGCCATGGACCTGTGTACATCCAGGTGAGGTAGTCCCTCACTCAATCATCCAATGCCAGGAGTGGCATGTCCTCCCCAGATCTTTGCTACCAGATGTGCAGAACTGGGAGGCCAGAGAGCAGACCTTGCCAGTAGAGACAAAGAATGCACTAAGTGCCTCTACCTTCTCAGCCTCCTTTGGCACAAGGTTGTCTTAATAACCTCTTAAGAACCTCTCTCATTGTGCTGTCTTGCATGTTTCTCTAGCTTGGTATTTTGTCAAATCCCTTCAAAATGCTTTAGACCATCTGAGAAGTGGAGGTACTTTTTTTCAGTCAGGCCAATCCATGATGTAGCATTTCATTTATTTATTTTATACTGCAAAATTGCATTTATTTGGAAAACCGTTCTCATAAGGAATGCTTGATTAACTCTAATAGTAATGATAATTTTCCAGTTTTCCATACCTCCAAAAGTCCAAAATTTTGATGAGATTAAAAAAAGGAACACTGAAGTGGAGAGGGGATGGGACACGAGGAAGGGTGCAAGTAGAATGCCCCATTCACGCGTGCACACTGTCTTTTTGTCAGCTCGGGCGGGGAAAGGGCCAGAACATAGGGCGGAGCATGAGACAGACAAGCAGGGGAACAAACCAGGATCGGGACATGGACAAAAGGGGGAGGAGTGGAGGAAGCAGGGAGCAGGCAGCAGGCAAACTCATGGCAAGCCTGGGCACGACCAGGTTGTGCACTGTGTAGTGTGAATACAATGAAACCACATAATAACAGTAAAGTCCATATGATAACTGTAAGGTCTATATAATAAAGTCCTGCCAATTGCTGTATGCTTTTCTCCATGCCTGGGAACTGTTCCCATCCTGAATCTTGCTCCTTCACAAAGTGGAAATATACTACAAGAGAACACACTTGAAACAGAAAAGAGATGAGAGAAAATTGAATATTAATGCATACTGTATTGGTATTTTTCCAAGAAGTGCTTTCAGTTAAACACAGGCAAAATTTCTTACTACACCTGTAGCAACATATTTTTTCTGCTTTCCTTTTTGCATCCAGAAATGTCTACAAACAAGGTCTTGTTTTAAATAAATTCTAATTAACTAGTTTTTCATTAATGCTGTACATTATCAGAATCATGTTACTTTTTTTTTCTCTTGCCTTTCTTTGTTTCATTTTTCTAGCAAGTTCATATAAGAAAATATGTTTAGTTTCTTCGAACTCCATAGGTATATAATAACAAAATAACTTACAAAAGAAATGGTTTTCTTATAGTATATTAGACCTGAAATGAACAGCTCAAGATTAGAAAGTGCTGCAAATGTTTTTATCATGCCCTTTCCTTATGATATTTTCAGATTTTGGTAACTCAGAAACTGAGAAACATTAAAAGTTTCTGGTGCTTACCTGAAATAAATCTCGTTCTGACTGTCCTGATGCTTCAGGGTGACATCAGACATACTGATGTCTTTGGGTACTGATTAAGGTTAAATTCCACTTACTTTCCTCATTGCTTTTAATTAATTGTATAGGTCAATTATGATGCATAGCATGTCAGCAGAATATAAAACTGTGTTGGCCTTATGTAAAGCATAAAGCACTGTATCGAGTACAATGACTGTTTCAGACAAGCAGTGTGTACTGCAGTGCAAGTTTTGGGGTGTGAAGTTCATGGAAGTAACTGTCACTATGTGCACAGATGGCTGTACTGTGCACTCCCATGTTGGGAGTGAACTTCATTATTTCACTGAGTCATGATGCAGTCTAAGGCCATAACTTCCATGTATACAAATTCCACTCAGATAGTTCAGTAACAGTACAGTCCTGTGAATATTCCCATACTTTATGACAATCAAAATAAGGAGAGGAGGGTGAATTTGCTGTTGGAATGCATCATCAAAGGAACAGCACATTAAAAATGTGTTCTTCAAGACATTTTAGTTTTCTTAGAACTGTAGCCATTTGAAAATGCATTATTTTAGTATTTTAAGTTCAGCCTTTATACATTGGATTTCATTTATACTCAATTATAATGGTATGTTAAGCAAAGTCTCATCCTGTTCTTGGGCTTGGAACTCAACTGTCTGTACCTTTGCAGTGTTAGCACAGCAACACTGACTTTGGCTTTTGCCAGCTAACACTTTCCCAGGTAATTCTTGGGCGTATTTCGGGAGCTGTCACAATGAGCAGCTTGCAAGTGATTATCCTGGCTTGAAGAGTAAGACAATTTAGTATCGTGGAGTGTACCATTCTCAGCCACCTAGTTCCCACTGCCAGGGAACAGTCCCAGGCATTTAGTTTACTAGGCAGAGCCTCTTAAGTAGGAGAGAAGACTCATTAATTTAACTGGATTGGAGCCAGAGTGCTCAGTCATTTGTATAATCAAATTCTAAAAAGAGGCAATAATATCTTAATTTATATTTTATTATTACTGATTGCTCATTAATATGTAATCAATCAATCCTTTGCATTTCTGAGTCAACTTTTACATGAATTTATTGCTCGCTAAGGAGTGCTGCAGGCAGTATTCCATATAAAAGTCCTGACATTGACAGTTGTGAATTCACAAAGTGGGTATCTGGTTCAAAACTGTCTTTCAGTTCCACCTGAACTCAATAGGATTTTGAGAAAATCTGTGGTAAACTGAGTGGACAAAAAAATGGCAGATGGGCTTCAATGTAAATAAATATATTGCCTAGGGACATTAGGGATGCGTAATTTAATCCATACTTACATGATGCCAAAACCCAAACCTGTCACTTAAAACTCAAGAACTGCGCTGAAGTCATTAGCAGCAGTCCCAAAGCCAACAGAACAGTGCCCATTATCAGAAAAGATACCAAGGACAAAACAGGGAACTACTTTTTGCAGCTGATTTTGCTCTGTGTAAAATCCTGACACGCACTGTCTCAAGTAATGTGTGTCTCTGGCCTCTGTCTCTCAAGGACATGAGAGGTAAGAGAGGGGCACCAGAAATGTGAAAAAGAACAGCTGCCTCATAAGGAGAAACTTAAGGACAGGTTGAAATTCTTGCATGTGTACAGAGTAGTCTGAGAGGGTTCTGATCGAGGTTACAGAATCCCCAGATCCCATCATACCTGAAGCTGCTGGGGACTTATCCAGCACTCCACCTGTAATACACTTCAAATAGTGGATGGGGTTGTGTGATCTCCCTGTATTGCATCTTTTGCTGCCACCACAGGAAGCAAAGTCTTGGGCTAGAGGGATCACTGGTCTGAGCAAGCTTGGTATTACCTTGTTAACATAATTCTAGCAAGATAGGTGTTTCATGAGGGCAGTTATTTGTCTTTATGTGCATCTGACTACAAACTCCTCCACTCAGGAAGGTACCATACTATTACCATTTCTTTTGTTTTGAGTGTACTTTAAAATCCTTTAAACATTTTTGCTTCCTTCCTAGATTGTATTTTTTCTCACTCTCTTTAGTTTTCTTTGCAAATTTCCTAGCTATTATGATTTCTAGTCAGTGTGGATCGATAATAGTCTACTCTTTTTTTCCCTCCTGTTTTTTGTGCAGAGCTTTTAAAGTTTCACTTTGTCATTAAACTACCAGTCTGCAATAAGTGTGATGGATCACTGCTGAAAGGTGTTTATTTCTCCATTGCCTACCATGGGAGCTCAGATAAACAGTTTAGACTAAAAACCCTAACTTTCAGGTGGCTAATGCTGGGTGAATGTAGTTGGCTTGCCTCAACTACATAAAATGCCACCTGGGATTATGCACTGTTTGTTCACATAAGAATATCTGTTTAACATCTTTGTCAACAACATAGACAGTGCACCCTCAACAAGTTTGCCAGTGACACCAAGCTGAGTGATGCAGCCGACATACTGGAGGGAAGGGATGCTATCCCGAGGGACCTTGACAAGCTTGAGAGGTGGGCCCGTGTGAACCTCATGAAGTTCAACAAGGCTGAGTGTGAGGTCCTGTACCTGAGTCAGGGCAATCCCAAGCACAAATAGAGAATGGGTGGAGAATGGATTGAGAGCAGCCCTGAGGAGAACTTGGGGGTGTTGCTTTATGAAAAGCTTAACATGACCCAGGAATGTGCACTTGCAACCCAGAAAGCCAGTTGTATCCTGGGCTGCATCAAAGGAAGTGTGGCCAGCAAAATTCGATGGAAGTGATTCTCCCCCTCTAGTCTGCTCTCACGAGATTCCACCTGGAGTGCTGTGTCCACCTCTGGTTCCCCACCTTAAAAAGGACATGGACTTGCTGGAACAAGTCCAGAGGAGGGCCATGAACATGATCAGAGGGATGTGGCATCTCTACCATGAAGACAGTCTAAGAGAGTTGGGCTTTTTCGTCCTGGAGAAGAGAAGGCTTTGTGTAGACCTTATAGCACCTCCAGTACAGAGATCTACAAGAGAGCTGGAGAGGGACTTTTTACAAGGACATGTAATGATAGGACAAGGAGGAATGACTTTAAACTGAAAGAGGGCACGTTTAGATTAGATATTGGGAAGAAATTCCTTACCGTGAAGGTGGTGAGGCACTGGGATAGGTTACTCAGAGAAGCTGTGGTTGCCCCATTCCAGGTAGTGTTCAAGGCCGGGTTGGATGAAGCTCTGAGCAACCCAGTCTAGTGGAAGATGTCCCTGCCCATGTCAGGGGTGCTGGAACTAGGTGATCTATAAGGTCCCTTCCAACCCAAACCAATCTGTGATTCTATGTAAGATGTAATGATGTTGTAACCACTGTTCCCTCACTAATCATTGACCTTCGTTGGTGTGGATAATTCAGATTATTTAGCATAAAGTGGTGCTGTAGCTTGTTGGTGTATGGGAATTTTCTAATTTCCAGTTGCCACTAGTTTTTAGAAGTTAAGTGTCCTGAATGTAGATTACTACTATAACATAATTAAATCCTTTAGAAATACCATTCTCATTCAAGTTTGGTTAACTATTTGCATTGGGAATACTGACTACTGCAAGACTATCAAGGTACACTCTGGGAAAGACTTTTTAATCTTCGCCTGTATCTTATGTTCTTTTTCTAAGTATCCTCTGCAGATTGCTGTCAAAGATGGCACTAGAGTCAAGAGGCCTTTGGTGTGGTTTGGTACACTTCTACTTTCCTTGTTAGGTAGGTGTCTGTGATGTCCTCTAATCATGAAGAATTTCTGATTTGTCTTCAAATCCTTAGTAAACTACTGCTCTCTTCTCTTTGACATGATTCAATTAAATTTGTCTGTGACATGATGAATTTGTGTTTCTGCTGGATTTGCCTTTCTGACACCTTTTTATTTTTCTAAGTAGTTTTATACCTTCTTGTCTGTTCCAGTTAATCCTGTCTGAAGTGATTGTCATACTGTATGAAAACCCCCATCTATAGTGTTGCACAAAACCCTAATTTTTTCCCCTGGTTGTGCAGCCCACCATTTGTCTCTGGTATTTTAATTCTTCCTTGTTGTTGTTGTTGTTGTTGTTGTTGTTTTTTCTTTGAGCCTGAAAAAGCCACCAAGAAGATCATTTAGAGTTTCCTTATCCTCAGTTCCTTCTGAAATCCTTTAAGTCTTTTATAATTGGTTCCAATGTATGCCACCTTCATCTGGGAGATAACAGATGTCTTGCTTCATATTCTCCATTCGAACTTCATGTTTGACTTCCCACTTTTGGTCTATGGAGAATTAATTTCTTTTATTGTCCTCATTTCTTTCCAGCTCTTACTTCCTGATTTCATTAAGACTCTTCACACTGCGTTTTTGACAACCATAGGGCCACTAAAAAGTGCTTTACAAAAAGTATTAAAACTTCTGAAACCCTCAAGGCAGATGGGTCTCTCCTGAAACCTTGTGATTTAGTCTGCAGAAGCAGAATAAGGAAGCCCCTGGAGTGGAAGCAGGGGTTAGTCACTGTAAGAGAAAACCAAATCCAAACAGTTCTTTTAATGAGCACAGGAGGTTTAATGTATGTCTTCATTGCTTGAGATAACACAGTTTTACTTCGGAGCAGATCAGGTAGCTTTTACTGGCTATGACCAAGAAGCAGCTCATTTTCTGGGCAGTATTTATGAGAAAGAAAGTGAATTAATTTTATATATTGTATTTTATTTATGCATTAGATGTATGTGTTTATTTAATTTTGTCCTGAAAAGAAAAAGCATTCGAACATCTGATAATCTGTTATAGCAACCCCAATTCATAAATATGTAAAGCAAGAAAGGTCACTTTCAGAGCAACTTGATAAAGTCATTACAAGCTGGTACTTTAAGGATTCTCAGGGAGAAACCCTCTCAATATACTATCTATATTGGATAAATATCCATCAGCACACCTGCACAGCCCAAAGGATTGCATCTTTAAGTCAAGCCATGTAACTGTTCTGAAAATGAAGCTGTATTCCAGAAAGCAGATCTTCAATTGGCTCAGTGGATTACTTCCATTCTTCCAGTAGGAAAACCAGAAAATATTTTTGCTTTCTGGTGAAAACCTGTGTTCAATAGTGTCTGAATTTGATACTTATTGGAAACAAAGGAAGACTATTGATTGTAGAGTTTGCCAGTAATTAATTAGACCAACAAACCATACACATTTGGCTTCTCTCAGTTCAGAGGAAATTATTTCTTCTTGGTTCATGCCATCAAGTTATAGTTGCTTGAGACTTCATGGAATAATACAGAGGACATCTCTTAGCCCGGTGGTGACCAGTTTATACTCTGAAACTTGTTATTTATTACACCTTTAAGTCAAAGGTAATGATGAAATGGATCATAATATTATCCAGCTTTCAAAAATATGTATGTCTATCCAGCTGCAGTGACAACAGAGGGCAACAGACCTTCAGTTGCATAGATCCACAACTGAGGCTGAGCTATGACAATTTGTACAAGTCCAGTTGCTGGATCCCTATGGTAGATTTTCCTCCTAACTTGTCTCATTGTTTCCTTCCTCCTGTGTAGACAAATGGTGCATAATAGATGTTACTTTGAGAAAAGAAACAATCTTTTCAACAATCATTGAAAAAACCCTGCATAAATATTTCCTAAAACAGACTTGTGTTTCTGCAGGATGGGAGCCTCAGAGGGCATTCATACCTGTAGTCCCTCCATACCCACTGTCCATTAATAGTCTGGTACAGTGGAAAACATTATCTCCTATGACAATATTTATATTGTATAAATAAGCCAATAAGCCCAAAGTCAGCCCTCAGTTACAGTGGAGCTACTGTCTTAGATGAAATGTCGGTTGTGCTTGGATCCTTTAGGTCTTCTCAACTCCATGACAGTTTTACTCCACTGATTCGTGTCTGAATGCAATCCCCCTACCCCCTTGTTGTC